TCTGAATACTTTTTCTCTTTTGAAACTATCTATTCACTCCGAAAAACTATTTCTATAGATATTATTTCAGAAATATTACTGTCCATGATTAGTAAAAAATCAATTAAATAAGAAAAAAATAGCCTTCGTTCGAAATTGATTTTCTCAACACAGGCATGTATAGCAAAGCTGATCTTGTCACGAATGAAGCGGTCAACTATAAGCTTTAGGTTTGTTAAAGAAATAAGGCTCGATATTCAAAAAGAGCGATATGTTTTGTCAATAAGAAAGCGTAAATATTTGATCATATTCGATATGTTTGAATGAGAAAAAATTTATATGAAAGAGAAGCATGAATTATTTCATTCAATCAATGTTGAAGGAAAAACGAGATGAGAGAAACAAGTATAAATATTCGTCTAAATTGTTTGTCTGGTGATAAATAAGAATTAAGCGTTTTGTATTCTATCAACTACATTGTGGATCTTCCTTAAGATAGCCTATACTTTTACTTAAGTCTTCGGCTTGACTACTGATTTCATGGAAACTCTTTTAGATGGGAACCATGCTATTAAAATTCTTTTTCTATTCATTTTGTCACGTGTGTTCTTGTAGCGTACACAAAGCAACATCATTTAAATGATGTTTCACATGCTTAAGACTCAATTAGAACGATTCAAGCGTGAATTCGTAAATTTCTTATTAATAGTTTTCATCAGTCATCTCGCTTAATTGATAAATTCATCCACATCTCAGCAATGCACGACTTCAGCGTTTTATATTGTTTTAACAAGAACAAGTAAGCATTGGTTAATTTGTAATTTTATTCTTCTCCATTCTTTGCAAAAAAAAAACATCATCTTGAGGCATGTTTTTGTTTTTTATTTACTGCTTTCTCAATAACATTGATACATATCAATAATTTCGAATTCAAACACTTTTCAATGATGAATAATCACCTCATTTTTTCTTGAGGGTATGGATTTGGTCATGAATAATTTCTTGCCAATTGGCACTCAGAACCACCCTACATCTACAATTCTTACAGTAATTTGTAAGTGACAATAGATAGACATCTCTAACAGACAAAAATGAAAATTCGAAACAATAGAAGTGTTTCGACTAATGACTTTCAAAGTCCTTTTTCTATATATATGAAAGAATATAATCTTATTTTATTAAAATAAAAATAAACATTTGTATTCAATCGCTGAATTTAACTTCACTGCAATCATATATATATATATATATAGAAATGCAATTCTGCATGAAATAATTATATTATAGCAAACAAGCCTAGTATAATAAATAAACATGGTCTTATATGTTTTTCAGTCCCATTCGCATGATGCTCTCGTTGCAAAACAATAAATTAATGATGTATTAAAAAATAGTTTGTATTCATGTTTGTTTTTATCATGTTGGTGTTTGTAAGTCATCTGATTCAATGAACTTATCAATGGTAGCTTCTTTAAGTATTGATTTTTGATTTTGTCGTTCATTTTGACGTCGTTCAACATTAGTTCGAAAACCTTTTAAACCTATTCGACTTAAATAAAGTTCACGATGACGTTGTACGGTTGTTGTTATAGGATGATAATCTTTTGGACGATCTTTTTTTATATCAATTGGTGCGTCAGCTTCAGTACTTGCTACTGATGCATGAAGTGTACCAAGAAAATATTTTGTAAGACCATCAAGTATATCAACACAATGCATACGATCATGTTCACATATGGGTAAATCCATAGCAACAAGCGCTAAATGATTTGGTTTAGGTATACGTAATGGTGGTTCAAGACCATCAACAAAATCTGATAATTGATCATATCGTATAAATTGTGAACCCGATGGATCTAAATGTTGCCATTTTTCATAATACATATCATAATCATCATCAGTTAAGCCCTAGCCAAAATAAAAAAAAAAACAAAATCCAAAAAAAATGTTTCCCTTCATTTATTTACTTGTTGCACATCTTCGTGTGCTTGACAAAAATTTTCTAATATTACTGCAATATACATATTGACCTAAATGATAATACGAAATCAGAAAAGATCAAAATAAAATTTTTTTTCTAATACTTACTACAACGAGAGAAGTAATTATTACATAGCTTACAATAAATGGCGTTGCAATAGCCGCATCACCACAATCACCTTTATTTGATGGTGTATTTATAGTTGGATTACAATCTGGTGGTCGATCATTTGTTAATGCTTGAAAGACACCAGACCAACCGGCAGTTGTACACATTTGAAAAAGTACAATCATTGAATT